GCACCCGGTGGGGGATGCCAGTCCTTCACAGTCAGTGTGGCATTGAGCCTGGCGCCTGTCCGGCACCCGGTGGGGGATGCCAGTCCTTCACAGACAGTGTGGCATTGAGCCTGGCGCCTGTCCGGCACCCGGTGGGGGATGCCAGTCCTTCACAGACAGTGTGGCATTGAGCCTGGCGCCTGTCCGGCACCCGGTGGGGGATGCCAGTCCTTCACAGACTGTGGCATTGAGCCTGGCGCCTGTCCGGCACCCAAGGGGGGATGCCAGTCCTTCACAGACAGTGTGGCATTGAGCCTGGCGCCTGTTCGGCACCCGGGGGGGGCTGCCAGTCCTTCACAGACAGTGTGGCATTGAGCCTGGCGCCTGTTCGGCACCCGGGGGGGGATGCCAGTCCTTCACAGATGAAGGTCCATCACTCTGGTCCATCCTAACTGAGAATTCACTGCAGGATGAGGAGGGGTGTGAGTGTAACTTATAATCCCCTTCAGGGATTGGTTGACACGGTCTCACACCTGCAGGTACCCCTCTAAAAACATACTGTACATATATGCATTTGCCCTTGCTCCTTCCAGTAGGTGCTGATGTTCTTCTGTAATCTGCATCTATGCTGTTTTTTTCGGAAGTGGGTGGGGCTGTAATTCACCATAGGACGTTTTTTTTTTTATTTAAGGAGCTGATTGGCCAGATGCTGCAGGTGAATGTGGAAGCCCGCTACACTGCCGAGGACGTCCTCGCCCACCCATGGGTGACGGTAAGCAGGGGTCACTGCTTTGCCATGGCGACCGCACTCATGCCAGAGGTCCATATCCATGGCAACTGGTTGCACTGACATCCATGAAGTAGCATGAGCACATTAAGTGGTGTTATGCAGCATGGTGAGAATGTCAGTCAGATGGACTGAACTGCAGCAAGGTGAGCAGTGAGAAGCACCGGCTCGTCCAGCATTGGAAAGCCCACAGTCGCGTGTAAACGATGCTTTAAATGACAGTGATAAAGAGGGCATCTGGATGTACCTCCTCTGTAGACAAGCAGCACTAATACCTTCTGCTGGATGGATAATCTCTGTGTCACCGGGCCATGCCCTTTCTCACCAGCGGCGGGGTGGGGGGGCATCCGCTTGCCTTCCAGGATGATGTCATGGTGGAAGGCAGTGTGAGGGTGGAGTCTGCAGAGCCTAATGAAGCAGGAGAGGAGGACGAGAGCCCTGTGGGCGCATCTGTCGCCATGGTGAGGCGCTACTCTCACACTCAGGCCGGACAGTGCATTCAGGGGTACTGCAAATGGGATGGAAACCCAGGATGATTCAAGCTACCAAGACATGGCGACGGGCCCCCGAACATGCCAGAAGGGTGGGGGGAGGGTTCTGTCCTCACCACCTGATTTCACTGTATTTTATAAATACCTCTTTTCATTCCAACATATAGTTACTCAGAGAAACAATATGAATAATCTCATTTCACAGCACGGAATTGGTGCCTGTAACCGAGCTGAATGAAAAGCCTGTTTGAATGCAGTGCAGGGAGCAGAGCAGGAAGCTTTAGGAATCCTGCAAACTGGAATGCTGCCTGCGAAATGTAAAACAGAATATTCTGGGCAGTGACACGGAGCGCAGCGTCTGCAGGGGCCGGGGTCTGTGGCCGTCCGTCACTGGGAATGAGCTCGCCGACTGACGGAGGCTGCCCGGGCTGTACTGCGCTGTGTCGGTGTGGGGCCTGGGGCAGTCTAGGGGGCGGCTGCAGTCAGCCGTCGGGGCTGATGTGAAGGACAGTGCGATCCGCCGCTTGCTGCTCTCGGCAGTTTTTTGTCCTGTAGATGGAGGGCTTCAGTCCCCAGGGAGGTGTGGAGGTGCGACTTTGCCGTAAACGGCAGCGGCGACCGACTGACCTCCATTCCCTGTGGATAGGCTGCTCCCCGAGTGTGTGGCTGCCAGTGCCAGGGTCCCCTCGGCCCCAGGTCCCCCTGAGCATGTGACTGTAGGCCCCTGGGTGGCCCCATGCTGCTCCAGTTTTCAAGCTGCGCTCAGCGGACCCGTCCGATGTCCCGTTCCGTTTGCTTCATGCGCCGCTTGCGAGGGCCGGCTCGCAGGAGTACAGCGCTATTCCTCCTGACATCCTCCGCCGCCTGTCACAGCTCTCCTACGGCGTGGCGCCTCTCAGGCACGCCTGAAACGGACTTGCTGTCCGCGGAGCTCTTCCTCCCGTTCAGTCTCGCTCTGTATTTTCAGCACTGAATCCTGGATGGCTGATGCTGCCGCTCGGTATGGGAAATGCTCCTTTTTCAAACATGCAGCGTCTTGTGGCTTTTGGCAGCTGCTTTTATGTAGGGGAACGAGCTGTTCTAATATTACAAACACACTGCTTTACAGTGTGCCATGTTATATGTTCACTGGACATTCTGCAGTCAAATACATTATTTAAGTGTACATATGGTGATTATTTAAATATCTATTTTATTTAAATGTAGGTTTTAGAATTATGCTGCAAGCCTAATTATGAATATTAATTGTATATTTCATACAAAGACAATTACATAGAAACCAAAACACATTTGTTTGAGTTACAGTGCCACCTAGTGCTAGGAAGTGGCAAGGCAACTTTCACTGCTATTTCACTGCTATTTCACTGCTATTTCACTGCTATGCTGCTGTATCTCGGCAGAGGCAGAGAAACATGTTGCCTTATATAAACTAACCTGACCCAGTGGTCATAATGTGCAAGCAAAGCTTACTAATGTAGCCTCTAGACGTCTGCTTGGACGCTGTACTACATTAACTGCTTTTATCCCTCTGCTCTTTTACACCTGCCTGGTCACTCTGCTTAGCTCCAAGATGACGGTACGTATTGCCACCTGCTGGTGGCTTTAGTAATTTCCCATAAGCTGAGATTTAAAATAAAAGTTGAACAATAAAAAAAAAAATCAGTTACAGATGGTAAAAGACAATCCAAGAATTGATTCTAAAAGGGAATTTCATTTTCGAAGCATGTTAACATGCCTGACGTGTCATGTAGGAAATGCACCGTGAATCTCGCTTGTGTCTCCCCGTCCTGCTCACTGGCGTATCCCTCCATCCCCCCATCTCGTGAGCTCACTCGCGTATCCCTCCATCCCAGACGCTTTCATCCCCCCATCTCGTGAGCTCACCTCCGTCCCAGTTGCTTCCATCCCTCCGTCCCGTGAGCTCGCTCGCATACCCCTCCGTCCCAGTCGATTTCATCCCTCCGTCTCGTGAGCTCGCTCACACATCCCTCCGTCCCAGTCGATTTCATCAGCCCATCCCACAAGCTCGCTTGCATATCCCCCCTGTCCTGGTCGCTTGTGTCTCTCCGTCCTGCTCACTTGTCTTTTCTGTCCTGTCTTCCTCTTCCAGAGTGACACTTTGTCAAATGTAGTTTACTGTTGTTTGTGTCATTGTGATTCAATGCATAAAAAGTCTTGTAGCCTGGTGTGTCGAACCGGGGGGGGGAGGTGGTGGCTGTGTCCTGCCCCCGCTTTGTGGGGACAGTGGGCCGGGCTGAGTGCCATATGACTGACAGCTGTTTCCTGCTTCTGTCCAGACGAGCACAGCTCCAGGTAAACAGCATCCTGTCCTGTCCAGAGGCCCATGGTGGGACACCTTCCAAACCCCCCCACTGCGTGTCTCCCTCCTCCCAGTGCCAGTGGGGACTTTCAGCGGGGTCCAGGCAGACCCCGATCTGTCTCCCATGCGGAGCCCACTGCGGCCCGTTTATACCGTACACCATTCTCCGCCTACCTTCGCCGGGTCAGGAGCAGGCTGTCCTCCATCTGTCCGTGATCCCACATCCTTCTGTATTGTAGCAAGATGCCCTTAGTTTCCATTATACTGCTGAAGTCATTAGCTGTTACTATGCTTCGTATCGCTGTTCTTTTCTAGAAATCATGCCTGATCACGAAGGGATCTGTGTTTGTGTGCTCATCACTGTGAACGTGAGCATTGGCCCCTTTAAGAGGGGGTGCGCGTTTGACGTTTTGTTACTTGTGAGCATGTTTCTGATGAGGAGGGAATGACTTGTTCGTCGCCAATTTTAGCCAAACGGGCAATAAGCGTTTAACGCAAAAGAAAAAAGAAACTTTTTTAATAATACAAAGATGAACGGGTGGATGATGGAGAGGAGGAAGTTAGCTAAAGCTAACGATGAAGGGATGTGGTCAGAAAAAAAAAAAACCTCCATAAATGTGAGTAAAAGTGTTATTAATTGTACAGGAACTGCTGTTGGTGGCGTGTCTGTCTGTCTGTCTTTCTCTCTCTCTGTCTGTCTGTCCGTCTCTCTCTCTCTCACTCTTTCCTTCTCTGGCGGGATCAGGAGTGAAGTGTCCTGCCCGCACAGATCTTGCCGGAACATGCCATTGGTTTAGGTTTCTACATCTGTAGGTCTGAGACAGTTTCAGTGTCATTTTGTAATGAAATAATAAAACATGAATGGGGCCGATGACCCCCCCCCTCCCCCCGGTCCCAGCTCTTTGTGTAAAGCTGTGTGTCTCTCCATGAAGCACAGTACATGCATGAGGTGACGTACTGCGGTTAAGGGGACATGATAGGGTGACGTACTGTGGTTAAGGAAACACGCTGTGGTATTACGGACAAACCATGGTCAGGGGAATCAGTCCATTTCAAGGTTCCTGGAATGTGTAATAAACCCATATTCCCAAAATAAGGGGATTAAAACAACCTTCTGTAATCCTCAGCACGACTGCAAATATATTATTAAAAGTAAAAGTATACCGTTTTTCTTTCAGATCATATTAAAAATAACAATTCAACAGGATCTACAAAATACAAAATATGGCAGAAACATGGTGAGCAGTGCCTTTTAAAAGCTTGCCCCCCCCAGCTGTCCGTCAGTTAACGCCCCCCACATGCTCCTGGCAGGGGGGCATCTCTCTGGCCCTTGCTGCAGCCCCCTCTGGCGTCCTGCTGAAGTCGCTGTAGAAGATCACGATGCCCCCTGATGCCATTCTGGTGATGATGCACCTGGGGGTGGGTGAGGTTTGGGGCAGGGGTGCGGTCTGGTTACTGTTTGAGGCACGGTTACTGTTTTCACTTTGGTAGTGTGGTAATAAACGGTGCTGTATACATAGCCCTGATTAGGTCATGTGACTGCATTCTCACGGTGTCGTTCTGTACTCTTGCATTTTCATACCCCAATCAGCCACCACCATGATGTCATTTCCAAATGTGCTGCAGTTACGGTTCCTGAATGGTAATAGCCCAGAAACAGGGATTACCACAGTAAACTTCAGACGTCAGGATTCGTTAGAGCACCTTCCGCTGATTGTATATATAAACTTACGCGGCTAACGGCCCTCTGCTCCCGGCTGCTTGTTTAAGCTCTTGTGTAAACCTGCCCGTCACTGATCTCTTTGGTGTTTATTTGAAGAACATCCATCTGCCTTTAAAGGGTTTTCAAACACGCTAATTAAAAGGCTCATGAACATGGGGTGAGCGGACCCCCGGCCGTGAATCAGAGGAGGAAGCAGGTGGGGCACTCCTCTGACGTGGCAGGAGGGCAGCAGGCTGGGGGTGCGGCTTACCTCTGGTCATGTGACATGGCCAGGGAGCAGATGCCTGCATCACAACCAGGGTAGGTGAAGAGCTTCTGGAGGTCTTGGGCTCGCCAGACCCTCAGCACACCTCCATCACCCCCGGAGAACACGCACTGCCCATCAGGGCTCAGCAGGATGGCCTGTGGGGGTCAGAGGGGAAACTGGTCAGGGGAGATCAACAGGACCCTGGCAGGGCGGATCTTCAGGACCATGGCGAGACAGGCAAAGTCTGGGTCTACAGGACCACGGCCGGACCGGCAGCATCTCAAGTCTACAGGACCACGGAGGAACTAGCAGAGTCCCAGGTTTACAGAATCAGACTCTGCTCAGCTCCGGGGTCCCAGTGACCCACATTTACAGAATCCCTGATTACCATGGGCTCCTTTCCTAGGTCCACCCGGCCGCTTCCCGGGAACACCGTGTCAGCACCGTGTGATTTTCCAACCCTGCCTTTGACACACGGCAAGTTAATGAAAGCGCTGAGCCCCTAGGGCCCCCCCTGACCTTTCAGGGCTGGGCTCCATCGCCTCTGGCAGGTGGGGACCCGCTTACATGCCGGCCTTTAATCAGACTCCTGCTGGCTGCGGTGATGAAGTACAGAGGTGCTCCAGGAAGCCAATTCACTTACTCACTCACTGACACACGCACACATATGGGGGGGCTGCCTCAAAAAGTGTTCTGTAAGACCTACAAGCATCTGGGCTTCCATAACTTCACCCACAAGTACAGAAGGATACTCACAGAAAGACCAGCTGGAACAAGAGGTGGCAGGAGAGGCATTGCCATGGTTACTCTGGGGTCCTCTGACCCCAGCCCTCTGACCATTGACCCCAGCCGGCTCACTGCTCACCCTGACATCCTCGTCCTGCTCGCATCGGGCCAGCAGCTTGCCGTTGATGCTGAAGGTGCAGATCTGACCCTGCTGGTAGGAGACCACGCACAGACCCTCGCCGGACAGCTGCGCCTGCAGGGGGCGCTGACAGCCTGCTGGACTCTCCAGCTTCCGCAGGAGGTCCCCAGTTATGGAGTGAATGAGGCACGGACCATCTGTGGAGCAGGGTGAGGTGCGGTCAGTGATGGCTGAGGAGGTACGGGGCCCGCAGGCGGAGGCCACTGGACACTCACCTGCGGAGCCACTGAGGACAAGGCCCAGCTCTGCACACACGCTGACACACGTCACCTGGCAGCCGTGACCCGTCATCATCGCCAGGGGTGTTTCCCGCTCTGTCGGCACACGGTTAGAATGTCAGCCAGACATATTTTGTGTCGTTCGTTTCCATTACCGGCTTCGTCTAAACCTGGTGGAGTAACAGATTTGAACACCCGCCTGAATTATACCGTTTTCCACACCCACTTGCCCTGGCCTGGGATGCTGCTGCAGTACTGACCCCTACTGGTGGGGGAAAGGGTGGAGGCAGGGCAATTTTACTTGTGTACCAGATTTCAGACACAGTGGTAATTCGTGGTACTTTAGGAAAACATATTAAATGAAAGTGAGAAAAAAATCTGTGATACAATGGAATTATAATGCATTTATAGATACAAAATAATGAATTAAAAGTGGGCAGTGTTTCTGTGGGGTGACATTTGCTGGGGGTCATGAGGTATTTGGGGAATCTGCTGTTGCCCCCCCCGCCGCCCCCATCGCTGTGGGCCGATACCATGTGACCAATCAGCAGCGCGGGCTGATACCATGTGACCAATCAGCAGCGGCTTGTGCCTGGGCCCCCGCGTGCGGCGTGTGTCAGACCTCTAATGTGAAGCACTGACTGACTTCAGCTAGCTAATACACAAAGGCTGCTGTTAGCCTGCTATTTAACGACCGCCAAGCGTGGCATCACAGCTCTCCAGCCTGAACTCGCACATGTATAAATGACCGCTTCATAAACCCCTTCTCATAACATTAAACATGAAATGCAAATACAGCATTCAGCATCAGGCCAGAGAAGGAAGAATCTATTGCTTTGATTTCACAGAGCAGTGGACAGATGGTTACCAGCCATTTTCTCTCGGGGGAGGGGGGGCACTATGGGACTTTAAGATTCGGGGCATTTTGTTAATGGCCACTGGGGGTCAGTGTAGAGGTGATCACACTGCTAAACGGGCAGCTGCCCTGGAACCCATGACCCGTGGAAGCGGAGGGAGGGGCTTGGAATCAGCCCGGGAGCGAGTTCATTAACAGTTCGTCAGAAGCCAGAGCTGCCATGGGGGTGTCACGGCCCGAGGGGCTGGGAAAGACAGACACCAAAGTACGAGGCTGTGGGGGGCGAAAGGCTGAGAGAAGGGCATTGGTCCTGCCCCCAGGATAGGGGCCGGCCCTCACAGCAATAACATAGCTGTGCATCAATAAGATATGCAGCTTAAACGAAACACTATACATGCAGTGGCAGGGAGACAAAGTAATTCAGTCCAAAGATGGAGCCGAAAGACCCAACCAGTGTTCAGTACAGCCGTATCGCTGCTAGAGACTGATTTATAGCGAACAACTCCTGGGATTAAAGAATGAAGACTAATTTCTTCAGAAACACGCCAGTAAACTTGATATAGTAGAGGATCATTTAACCTTTAGTCAGTCACAAACATGTGGTTTCTATTAAAGCTACATCTGATCACAGTTAAGTCCCCAGGAACCAAGGAGGTAAGGAATAAGAATGAGAAGGAGCGTCATTCACACAGAAGGAGAGGACTGTGTGTGTGTGTGTGTGTGTGTGTGTGACTATCCCTTAGGAGGGAGAGAGGAGCGTCATTCACACAGAGGGAGAGGACTGTGTGTGTGTGTGTGTGTGTGTGTGTGACTATCCCTTAGGAGGGAGAG